ATAATCCTAAACAACAGCAGACCATTTGCATTATGATCTGTAAGTACTGAATGTCTTTGGTCATTTGAGTGTTCAGGAACTTGCCTGGGAGAAAGAAGAATCGTAGTGCTAATGTAAGCGGTGAGGAGATCGACCCCATCTGTCTCCTCTTTCCTGCACACCGCCTCTCTCCCTCCCTTCCTACAGTGCTTTATCCATTTGTTTTACTATGTGGTAGAAATGGCACGAGACAAGGAACCTAACATTAACAAAAAAAAAGTACAATTTGGGTGGAACGTGAGATCAGAGGAGTGCACTGGGACTAACGAGGATGGCACTGGTGTTTGAAAGTTCACAGACTGACTGGTAGTCTTTGTCGGTGCAAGCACACACACACCCATTGTGGCACAGAGGAAAGAGAGAGACAGAGCAGTAGGAGACAGAATAAACAAATAACATTGTCTCCTCTCACTGTAGTGGGTGTTTCCTGATAAAGATGACTCAACCCACACAGACTAATACAAACTACAATGGAGAGGCTGTGCACGGTGTCCCTTTTGGCCGCTGGGTGACTCAGTGCTTTTGTGCAGTCACCACAGAGCCTCCATGCCAAGCCTGCAGACCTGCTTCAACTGCTGCTGAAACAGGCTACTCACAAGGTGATGTCACCCCCGGTTAAACCTTTATCAGGCACAAGCAATTACTTTTTTTTGTATTTGTGTAAATGGCAATAAAATCTAGCATTTTTTTAGCCTTTTATTTGAACAAAAGCAGGTCCACAACAATATAGATATAAGTCCTTCCTTTTGACATCACCTCTCCTGTGATGGAGCATAGGGTTAATTAAATGGGTTAACCAGAGGATGATTTAATACCTGCCTAGTCTGTACAGGATAAACGCGCCAGGGACAGATCCTCTGACCCTGATTCTGCCACACACCCATTATAACTGCATGTTTGGGTGTGCACATGCTCATGCATGCCAATGTGGATGTGCACTGTAACTGTGATGAGGCAGGATCTTCAGGTGATCATGGTTGTTCCTGCTCTACATCGTTGCTGGACATAACAGCCTCTGGTCATCTGGACAGAAGACTTCTCTCCCCTCTGCATGCACAGATGATAGGCTTGACAGAAGACTGTAGCTGAAATGAAATTACTCTGTCTATTCAATGATACTTTAAAGTACTGACTTAGAAAAAATGTTTTTAATTCATGTGAACAATGACTAAAATTACAGATAAATGCAGACGGTACCAGCACAGTTCTTAAATTCACACAAATAAGACGTCTGGGTTGTAAATAAAAAACTTTTCCATGTTAGATGACAGGCTGCTTTTTCACTATGCTTTTAGTGTTTGCAGCACACACAGCTAAAGTAGACGACCAATCAATACAGCAGCCTGCAGGCAGGGGAGTCCTGTTCCCTGTTACGAACCACTGTACTTCACTGCAGCAAAAATGAGCTTTCGGAAAAACAGAATCTATGCAGGTCTGGGCAGGCCGGAAGGGTTTCTGCAGAGAGAACAGCTTCATCAAGTCCACTCATGTGAAGATCATGAGATTTCAAACACTGGGACAAAAAAAACTATGGGCTCAAACACGACATCCACAACCAACCCTATAACACCACATTTGCTACACATACTGAGACGAGAGAGAGAGAGAGAAAAGAAAAACCATTTGCACATGTGGGCAAAGTGATCCTGAGCTACAAAGACAAATGACTTTTCCTTTAGGTCCCGGCAAACAAACTACCCCCATATGAAACACCAGAGGCCACACAAGGCCAGAGGGGCCCTTATCTATACAGTCAGCTGCCTCCCTGAGCCTGTGGCTGGGATCATGGGTCAGCACCAAACCTGCCTCATATAATTTATTCTCATCAGCCTGGCATACCTTCCTCCCTGAAAATCTATTTTAAACTGAACTAACAATACCATAAGGTGTTGATGGCTAAAGCATTGTAACAGACAACACTGGAGTTACACATTAAGTGACTTAAGAGTTGCTGAAACAAATTTGGCGAGGAGTGGGTGCCAAAATGCTCTCATTTCTTACATAAGCTTTGCAAGTGACTTTAGCTCAGACATGATAGACAGAACACAAACTGTGCATAATTCCCACTTCTCGTCAGGGGGTGGGAGAGGGGAGGGTGGGGGAGCCACGGGAAATGAGGAGGGGGTGAGAGGGATCCATCTGAGGTATTGATTCAGGCCCTCTGTTTATGTTTACTGCCCTCCATGAATTTGAAAGAGGAGCAAAGGGGAGAAAACTCTAATGCATCCTTTCTCCTCAGTCAGGACAGATAGATTTACAACCACAGCTGCCCTCATGCCTGATTGTCCCTGAATTGAAGGCCAGGTCAAACACACCAGAGAGAAAATTTTAGGCAAAATTCTTACTTAGTTTTGGAAGAATGGTAGAAGAATGATTGATAAAAATAGGTGTTAGTTGTGGCCGAAACTGTTAAGATGTTCCAATCATCATGGGTTGCTGTTTGCCATTTCTTTATGTTTGGCTATAACCTGATAGAAATCACAGCCAGGTACAGGCACATGTGCATGTCCCTATGTGAGTGCAGCAGAAGCAGAGCTGTAGTCAGTGGTTCTGCCACCAGCTGGGACCTGGACTCAGAGCCAAGGAGCAGAGCATGTGGGTCACATGTGTGACAGCAGAACATACACAAACACAGCAGGAACACACATGCACGGCTGGCCTGCTTTCACGTACACACCTGCAGACACACTCTACTGAACATCTATATCACTGATTATAGAAAATAAGCCACTATCATTTTTAAGTGTGACCCAGCAGCCTGCTGTCAGCTTTGATGATATATAACTAGCAAACTAACAAAACACTCTCGTTGAAAGCTTTTGAAAACTGGATGAAATAGAAGGCGCAGTCTAATCTAAAACAAAAAAGGATGGTGAGACTGTGTACTAGAATTTTGGTCTTTGATTTTTCTGTTGGAATCACCAACAGTTCTGAGTTACTCAGGCAACTCAGGCCCTGAAGCAAATCCAATTTCCATTTGCAGCTTCCCTGCTCTTTTACAATGTGCCTCTCCTGAGTATGGAGAGAGCAGATTGATGTTATTGCAGTGGCGGGTTTGCAATCTGCCATGTGGACTCTTATTCTTAGAACTGTGTGACAGTCAGATAAGAGCCAGGAAGTGTTTTTCTATGGAAGTAATGACTCCAGTCCAAGGCAGACAGGCAGGCAGACAGGTGGGGAAGCACATAACACAAAGGATGCAGATGGGAACAGATAACAGATCAAAACAAAGAGCAAAGAGCACTGTTGCAGCACCTTTTACTGAGTTATAGCTGATATTATTTCTGAGTGATGACTTCTCTCCTAATGTACATGGGCGATGTCTTTTATCTTTCTGCTTCTTTCTCTTCTCTGTCCTATCACATTCTCCCCCTTCACCCTCCACATCGTCCATAATCTAATAATAATAAGTGTGAAATATCAGCTGGCCAGCTGCTGGCTGTATCGGGCTGTCTCTTCATCTTAACTTGCTGCTGTGAGCTGCACAAAGATCATTCTGATTTGGCATGCGAGTTAAAACAACATGTTCATCTAGTCAATCACTGGAATAAAAGGGTATGAGGAAGGAAGCGGGAGATGTAACCACACATGCATCATGTAACATGGCAAGTGCTGAAAGTCAAACTGTGCAAAGAACGCCGACTGATGGAGTCCATGTTTACATCTGTGACATGACTATGTTTTTAATGTTCTTTAAGCCCAATGAAACACCATGAATGTTTAGTTTAGTTATTGAATTTATTATATTTAAAGATCAAGAAAATCATGAAATCCTTACATCTGAGGACCTGGAGCCAATAAATATTAGGTATTGACTGAAAATTTGTGATAAATCACTTATAAAAAGTTGCAGATTAACGTCCTTTGCAGCTCTAATATGTTGTATACATTAAAGATGACACTGTAAATAATTCTGAAATGATGAGGCTCTGTGTTGGCAGCATAGAGCAAATACCCCTTGTCTCTCTCTCACACACACATGCAAAAATATAGCATTCAGCTCCCCACTTTCCTGGCCCTTTGGCTGTAAGTGACCTTGAGCTGCGAAGCCCCGTCAGCATTTACCTCTTGTTGCTTATATGTGCATGCATTAATGACTGAAAGAGCCAGCATTCTCTCTTTAGGCTGGATCCCAAAGCACTTTTCTCTAGTTACATTTCTGAATGTGGATTTCTGATAACTGTCAACTCCAAATAGCAATACATTGGTTTGGAAAATGAATTCATGTGTGTGTAATCTAAGAGCATGTGCATCTCCCTACTCAGCTTTGCTGTCCTTTTATCCTCCCACATTTTTTATGGAAATCCTTAGCTTGGCATTAGATCAATAGGCAATTGAGCCACTTCACAAACTGTAGGGAAGAACCCTGCAGATCCAATTACTAGTGCAATTCTTAAAAAAAAAAACAACAACTTGGCAACACAGCAAAAGGCTCAAAGTCCCAACAGAGTCGCTTGAAAGTAATGAGTGGTGCCATGTGCACACAGGGGAGGAACCTGAGAACAATGAGATATATTGCTGTGGGAGGTGGAGTAGTGTATATTGTATTCCTGCAGAATCCTGAGCTTGCACTAAAGATGTTCTGATTGGCTGTTTGCTTTAGATTAAATAATGATGAAAATAAGATGAAACACACATGTTTAAGAACAAACATTTTATACAGCCCTCATTTGGAGGAGTTTCAATTACACTTAAGTGATGTTAAACAACTGTTCATTTTGTTGAGGCCCCTGGAGACCACATAACGAGCCCCGCTGGTCCCCACTCCCCACCCTTGCTCTGCTCTGGATGGCACAGTGGTCAACAAAAACTGTAGATACAGATACCGAGATGAACGCAAAAAACAAGATATCACTGATGTGGACCCCTGCTGGGCTGATGCAGCAGATCCCTCACACCTGACTGCAGTGCTTTTGCGCCTTGCCACTGTGTTAAAAAGCAATGGACCCGCGTCCACCTACCTCCTGCAATTGGTCTAATTCCTTCCTGAGAGTCTCTTGCTCGGCCTCCAGATCTGCATACTTCTGCTTCAGCGCCTGGTTCTCCTCCAGGACGACCAGACCGCACTCAGCAGCGCTGATCTTCTCCCTGTTCGCCTCGGCCAGTTCCTGGGTAAGCCGCTCTACCTCGGCTCGGTACTGATCCACCGATTCCCCGCAACCTCCATCGGCGGCCATCACCCCTCTTTCTGTCTGTCTCCCGTGTCCACCGCTTGGGAGAGAGCCACCGGGGCGGGCGGAGGCTGGGAGATGCTAAATATCCTCCGCCCTCTCCCTGGAGCCAGTGCAAGCAGGCAGTGAGAATATGGAATAAGGATAAGAACCTTTATATTTACCTCCACAGTATAGTCAAGAGAACCTAACTGCAGATAAAGCGCATTACCTCAACCATAAGTAGCGACAGATGAAGCGCTGCACATTAAACTCAGATCAGTGTTATCTTTGACACTCAGGAACACAGAGCATCATTTCTGCTCATTCATGCGTGAAACACCGCCACCTGTCGGTCACTTTAAGGCATAGCGCCTAATCCCTCTATCTATTGGAATGACTACTAGGGCTATTTTATTGTACTAATAGGTGCAATACACACATGCAAATTTCCACTAGGAATCAAACAACAGAGAGTAAATCTGAGGTTTAAACTACGAATGGGGGTAACAACATGACAAACAACATTGGAAATATTCCCTATATAAATAAAAGGGATGTACAGATCAGCAAAGAAATAAGAATTTGACAGCAGATATTTGGATGTTATATAGCAAGAAAATCACAAAACACTGTTAAAGACCAGTGAGAGAATATGCACAATGGAACCAAATTGATAACATCCACTGTTAATGCTACCGTTGTGCTTTTCTTGCTATGACAGGTCCCCCTACATGCTGGGAAGTAGGTATTTTAAACCCGTCTTTTATCTAAAACAGGGTGTTTTATTATGACACATTTGGATGAACAATTTAAGTTTTTTCTAACAAATTCTGTTCCTTAAAAGTTCAAGTGTATGAGTTTAATTTGTTTGATATTTTATAAATATATGAATATCAAGGTGGATCACTGGAGTTCGGTAGTGAAGATATTTACATGCCCCTGTGCAGTATGCTATGTCCATTTAAGTTCTGTTCTTTTTATCTTGTTTACCTTTTCCATTGTGTAAATGCTTTTGGGAAAATATCATAGGTTGTAAGTTGAGCTAGAAAAATGTACATTATATAACAATGTGCTGATAAAATGAATTGATTGAAGGTAAAACTATATGAAATAATCAAACAGTTAAACACAAAAAACAACCTTTATGGCTAAAAAAAAAACATGGTCAAGATTTTTTGTTTGATGCCCTTCACCATCTAATTTCTCATCAGCAGCCAGGAATGCAGTTTATCTTATAGCCAAGACAGGCAATAAAAGAACATATGAGTGGGGTGAAAAGTTTACGCGCACTCTGCAGCTTGTTAAATATAATCACTTATGGTGCTGTCAAGGCAGTTATGGTAAAGCTAATTCATCTTTTTTAGAATTGCAATTTTTTTGAAAAATGGTCTGCGTTGCACTTCTTGGAAAGAATGGGATGTGAGCGGTTGATGTCAAAAGACTATTATTGTCGCAAAACATGAATGTCTCAATGTCTTTATAACTGGGAAGCATGTGAAATACATAACTTGTAATTATTTACATATTTTAAATTTATAGTAATTATGTATAACCTTCTATTTCCCCTTTGATCCTACTGTTGTCTAAATTGCTCAACTGACCTCCCAGCAACCCAGATTTACAAGACCAAATTAAGATAAGGACAGGTTGTCAAAAAGTCAAACAGTTGAACTGTTTATGGCCGTGCTGTATCTTATCCCCAAACCTTGAACTAAATGCAGGACATGTCTACAAAGTTATCACAAGAACTTTTATTACAAAGAAAGCCAAGTGAATGCTCTCAGTGGGCAGCCAGAGGATTCATTTTAAATGTCAGCTTTACACAAAAAGTTCAGTTGGTAACATGCTAATTTCAGGCGGCCAACACAAATTTCCACTTTGGTGGAAAATAGTTTTATTCTATTCTTCTACACATTTTAACAATTGCTGATAAATCTTCATATAAAAAATATAAAATTTAAAGATTATAGTTGAGACTAGTTTTGTACATCATGATCTTTGTATCTCACATCATTAAAACAAAAATTTTAAGAGTATAGTATCATCACCAAAACCACAATCAGCACGTTTTTTTTTTTTTACTTTTAAATTACATGACTGAACATCCCTAATGCTACTCGATCACAAATGTTTCCTTTTACTTTTGTGTTTACGATGATTATATTTTTTACACTGTAATTTTTAGGATGTATTTTTGACCCTGTGGACCCCAGGAAAACTAGCAGCCACTGTAGTGGAAGCTAATGGGGATCTAGAGAAATAAACTCATTTGTAAGAATAATGAAGACGCTATCTTTCTGTCCCCAGTGGGTTGATCAGTGTGGCTGGTGTTGATGTTGCTCTCAGGAACAACCTTGAATGAGTGAATTTAGGCAAGCAGCATGGCAGCCAGCACGTTGCTTGCAGCTGGGGCTTCTGAAAGAGTAGACAGAGTGCTTACAGATTAGAAATGATCTCCAAGAAACAACAAAGAGGGCACTTCTGTAACCTGTGATAATCCCACAGAATGATCGCTTTTGGATAGATAATTTCTGTAGTCAGTCCTTTTTTTGCATTTGCATTTGCATTATGATTACAGAATGCTCATTAGTGTTACCTCATAATAAAGCGGCTGATGAGTAGCTAACTGTATGTGCTGTCTAGTCATCAGCTCTATGTCCTTCAGTGTTTCGGCCTTCCTCCATTTGGCTCTGCGGTTCTGGAACCAAATCTAAAAGACACAAGATGAAAATGTATTTAATGAAAATAATCTTATTAATATGCAGTAAAGAAACACCCAGTACTATCTCCTATCAAAAACAAATCATCCTATACACTAATTCATACACAAAATTCAGTTTGGGACAATTCTTCACTGTCGCATTACTGGGTTAACCTTACCCAGTATCAGTGGGCTGTTCTGGCACATTCTGTTATTCTTTATATTTCTGGTGGCTTATATACCCCAAACTAAAACTTTAGACACAACAACCTCAAGTTTGACCTTAAGCCTGCCATAAACTTACTGTTAGTCGTAGAAAACAATGTGCATGTGACATGTCCCACCCATATTTTACTTTAGGTAACTAACATAACAGTAACATAACACTGGGTCATAACTCTAATGTTCTATCCATGTGTACCTGCTAAAAACAACTAATTATTGCACAGATGCTTCTTTAGTATGATCTATATTTTGTTTGAGAACAATCACTTAAGCATTAGCAACCCAAAACTCTTGTTACAAATTAGAAAGAAATGTCAGCAAAATGTAATCAGTTGCACTGTGTTGCTAGTTTGTTGATGAAATGAAACTTAAGTTAAAAAAGAATTAAAATTGTGATCTGCCAATGTGCTTCTGTTGTGCATATGAGTATTTTAGTAGCTTTCATTGATAATTATTGCCACATTATAATATTCTGAGTATTGCAACACATCAACTATAAATCATTATTGCCGTTATTGAAAATCGCTGCGATGGCCCTTAGTAATACCACACACACACAAAGTCACACATTTGTGTATACACACTGGCAAAAGTTTTTAAACAGTAAATATGACAAACTCGAACCACCGGTTAACTAGATGATGAGCTGTGTGTGCCCTACCTGTATTCGGCCCTCAGTGAGGTGCAGGCAAGAGGCTAACTCGTCTCTGATGTTGACGTCTGGATACTGAGTCTGCTGAAAGACTTTCTCCAGCTCTTGCACTTGGAACGGCGTGAAAGTGACCCTGGTTTGCCTCTTTTTTCTCTGACCTATAAGCAAAAGATTGTCACTGTCATCTTCATCATCAGCCTCATTTAAACATACAGCTAAGCATGCAGATCAGTATCATAGTGAGCAGTTCTTAGTCCACCTTCCTCTTTAAATGTATAGTTTTATACTGACTTATGCAGGGTGTGGTGGCTGTTGGAGACTCCTTAAGTAGTCGATTTTGCTGGGTTTCTATGGACAGAGAGAAAGTCTCAACATTTTTAGTATGTGTGTTTGTACTATTTTTTGTAATCAAATTTCAGTAACCATAATGCACTAATTTCTATCAGAAGAGCTTCAAAATAAGAGTAAAAAAAAAAAACATACCTGCAGATAAACACTCGTTTGACACTCCAGTGTTCTCCTTTATTACAGACCGGTTGTGATGAACTTTTTTCTCTCTTCTGGCACATGTGGGCCTCCTCAGTATCTCTTCGATTGAATGGGATAATTTTTTACTTGACTGAGACTCCCTCTCTTGATCCATGCAGGAGTCTTTCCCTGTATCTCCTCTGTTCCACATTTCCACTAATTTAGCTCCTGCCATCAGCACTCGTCATCAGATACAGCCTTTTAGCATAGATAATGTATCTTTTGTGCTTTTTGTCAATTCTTCTCTTATGCTCAAACTAAAAATCCTGCTGTTCTCTAACTTCTTTTCCTCGGAGGGGAGGGCAGTAAAGTTGTCCTCCCTCTCCTGTCTGCCTATGTGTGACTTGCATCACATGGCCATCATTGGGGAGGAGCGACAGACAGGATTTACCAGAATATTTCTAGGAAAACCCAGTAACCAACATCCATAACATCCATTCATAGCAACATTTTTCCCTGTGTCTCTGAGGAGCTGTTATTTATGGTGTGTTCATTGTAAATATGTGAACTTATAGTCCTGATATTATTATCTGCCCCCATCTCTCTTTCACACACACACACACACACACACCCACACACACACACACACACACACTTTAGTAGAACTCAGTTGTTACATTTGCTCTGAGGTTTTATTACCTTTATTTTAACAAACATGAGTATAAAATCTTGCATTGCGAGACCAGGCTCAAACAAAACTTGGTTCTCTAGCTTGTTTAACATCCTGGACAACATTCAGCCATAAAAGATATGCAAATTATTACTTCTCTTTTTTTATCACCTGATTTATTGGTAGGATAACCTTTATCACCTTGGCTTCAGTATGGCCTCTCACACTGTAGTTCACCTCTCAAGCACACTGGGAGCACAAGCTTGACTCCTTGTGGTGAGTGGGAGATAATGCCTCATACACTCAGTACGTCGCCATCTAGTGGCTGTGGCTCTTCAGTGAAAGGAGAACATGGATAAACGTGTGCTTGTGTGTGCACAAAATTCCCCACACTTAAGATGTTAACCTGTATATGGTGCTAAAAATAAACATTTTAAGAATAAGAATAAACCTTCCTAACTGATGAATGTGGAAAATGACTATACCCTAATATACTCTGAGAGCCAAAACATTTAGACTCAGGCGGTTTTTATAAATGATTGAAGAGTCTCCCAGGCTACTTCTCCTCCTCCACCTCTGACAATAGAGTTAATAAATTCATTGTTTTTGAATGATATTCAACAGTTTTGTGTCATTTTGCTGTTACAGTGATACAATATATTTTAAAAACATTTCTAGTGCCTACTTAAACCTGATCAGTTTCTCTGCATTGCAAAAGAGTTTTGTCCATTATAGAAGTTAATCCTTACCCACTGACACTAGTAGCACATTTAAACACGTCCCTCCTGCTGATTATTAAAGTGACACACAGCCAACTTATCTTGGTATAACACTTTCTTGTTATGACAACATAGTTTACTGCGTTAGCTGTTATTGAAACAAATAAGTTATGTTGTATTAATATAATATGAAACAAGTAAATAATGTGATATGAAATAATCTTAGGATTAAAAAAGCTGTTTTTGAAATATATATATATGTATCATGCATAAAGTAGAAGCTCTAAACAAAAACTACCATTTGATAATGACAACTATGACAAAATGTTTTACAATTTTTGACAAAAAGTAAAATCTCAACAATAATGTGAAAGGATGGATGAACGGACATGAAGTAACCGTGTTATTCCTACGTCTCATTCAACGACAATAGGTGTGGATCTACAAACTGTAACTCAGTTCAATTCAGGTTTATTTGTCTCAAGGCACAACATATTAAGGTCCAGCAAGCTCTTGGCGACAGTGGGGAGGAAAAACTCCCTTTAACGGGAGAAACCTTGGACAGACCCCGGCTCTTGGTGGGCGGCCTTCTGCCTCGACCAGTTGGGCTGAGTGGATAGAGGAGAGAGTGAAGAAGAAAAGCAACAAGACATGTGATTAGTGCTGGGTATAAAACGTTTTTGGCATTGATCAAATTACTTCAATACCATCGAGTACAGAAAAATGCTTCTCTACATTTTTATTTATTGTTTACAAAACCTAAGATTATAGTAAACAGATTTACTTTCATGGTATGAAACTTCTTTGAGTCCACAAGAAAACCAAGGAATAGAAAAATAAAACTAATGATTAGAAAAAAAGTTGATGCTGACATGACTGTATCTAGGAATAAATAATTAAAGTCTTGCTTTTGATTAGTTTTATTATTAACAGTTTACATTTTCTTGCTTTTGGTGCTTCAGTGTGAATCCTTGATCTTGAAAAATTGAATAAGAAAAAATGCAGTTTACCAGTCCTGTGACAGGCAATGTGAAAATACACCCACATACAGATCCCAACCGTGTGTGACTGTTTCCTCTGCTGTAGTACTTCCTAATTTAGTAGATATGGGCTGCTATCAATCAGATTTGGACTAAGAATCTATTTTAATCTAATATCTAGTACAGTAAATCAGGAAATGAAGTTAACATTTACTGACCATTTACCAGTCAGTAACAGATTTGTACCACGTGATGGCAGCATAATAGTCTCGGAGGTTTGCTCTCCCAAAGCAAATATTTGGTGTTAAAATTAAAAGGGCTTTAAGCTGGAAAGGGCAAGACACAACTGAGCTATGCCCTAAAGACTGGATTTTAATCACTGGCTGAAGAATTTTGCCTTTACTGAAACAACAAGTAATTGATAAATCAGCACAAACAACTGCCTTAAAGAATCTGCTTTCTGATGTAGGGACAACTATGCACCACTCTGACATTAAAAGACAACAAAGAGAATATGATTGAGAGAAAGAGAGAGAGAAAAATATCGCACCCTGTCTCCTGACCTCCAGAAGCTAGTTGGTCAGCTGCTGTTACCGTTGTAATTGGATTCACATGAGCTGCTGGTGGGACTTGTTTCAAACAACAAGCACAGCAGTCTCATGTCTGAAGCTCCTTCCTACCACACTGCCCACCACAACCCACCCCACCCCACCAGTACTCCAAGCTCGTTCCCTTTTCTACCAGACACCTCTCTCCCCATGTTCCCTCCCCTCTGACTAATGGGGTTTTCACTTTGTTGTTTTGCTCAGAAAATCACCACCTGTGCCTTTTGGCTAAAGCTGCCATGGTTCCAGACAAGGAAGATCTAGACAGCTATGCATTTGCTGTGAGTATAACGTTTACTTAATTTTCTCCAAAAATAATTTGCATACTTTACTTATTTGTGAAGCTATTCATGATGATAGTAAAATATAAAATACGTAATTTAACCACTTTGTTGATTATCACATTCCAGCATTTCTACCTGGATAAAATTCTATAAAAACTCAGGGATTTACTTTAAAATTGGCTGAAAGTGAACACAATTTAGTTGTATGTATACTTGATCCTTGATCACTAAACTGGATGATACATGACTTTGTTTTTAGTACCACAGTGAGAACTACATGGTACTGGCAGTTAATATTTGATCAGATCAATGTGCAAGCAAAGTATGGTCATGGATACATATGAATGTATGTGTTTACATTCCAGCCCCTCTATGCGTAAAACCACACTAGTGTAAAGATAAGTGACAGTGTTTAGTCATTCAAAATATTTACTATGACCAAAAGCAATTACATTATATCTGATCTTCTGTAAAATAAATAGAAAGACCAACCAACTTTTTAAGGAAAGGATTCTTACTTTGAAACTTAGAAGCAACAATTAATCATAGTATTGAAAATCAGTTACCCATCTGTCTGTGGCTTTCGATTTTAGTCCAGTGAGTAAGTAGTTACTATAATTAAATTACAAAATAAATGTAACTGTAATCACTTAGTTACTAAGAAAAAATATGTAATTGCAGTTACTAATCAAAATGTAGGTGGTTGCAAAAAGATTTGATTTGATTTATTTTTTCAAACATGTAAAAAACAGTTGATATGACAACACACATAATTTTACACATAATCCAATATCAATTTGCTTATACCTAGTACATGCTTGAATGGAGTAGGAAGAAGTCAGACTTATCCAGTCCTACCCCATGACATCATCTTACCATCATTGGTTTGCAAGCAGTAAATGATTCACTTCTACCCACACACATATTATACTAAAAAAAGAATATAACAGTGTTAACATTCTTACATCACACAAGTAATATACTAAAGAATTATTAGAAAATGTACACCACACCCACAATTGTCCATGTAATTAATCATTAAACCTGTTTTTGCATATATCTTGATTGACACATACCTTTATATTTATGTTTAAACTCGTCAATTCTAT